TCCACTGGTAGCAGCACATTCTTGGGCGACATTTGAGGAAACGAGAACACAGAATGGTATTAATAGATAAATTGGTCAGAAGAAGTGAGGTTAAAAGAAGGAGATGCAGTATTAGAGGTTAAGACAAAAAACGGGTCTAGGAGTGTTGGTTGAACAGAAAATTGGTTAAGGGGACTTGTTACTTCACGTAAAACTTTGAAAAGTTGTAACTTTAAGCCTACGATGGCGCCTCCGACCGACGATTGCGACGAAACGTCTGGGAATGTGCTAAGTTAATGGTCCGATGCTGAAAATCACCAATAGTAGGACAGAGGACGAAGGAATAGGTACGTTTCACAAGGTCTACGATCAAGTTGCGAAAAGGAGCTCAGACCAAAATTTAGATCAGAAGTTCTGATCTTCTCATTCATCAATCTAGTCATCTAAGTTTCATCTATTTTTTTCATCATTTTATTAATGACTTTTTATTGCTCTACTTTGCATTACCTTACACACTGCCAATTTCTGTTTTATATTTCTGTATTCCCTTAACCGCTTTGTATATCCATATTTTGTAGCTAATATTTTAATTAATATTATTATCTCTTAATCTTTTTGGAGTGTTTAATTCCTTAGGTATATAGAATGTTTATTTTTTGCATTTAAGTATTGTTTCGAGACTACTAGTAAATCAGCAATATGAGATGTATTCACCCAATTTCTTTTAAGGTGATGAAGAACTGGTAGAAGAATTTTCCCACATTGATATGAGTAGAGCTGAAATTCACATTTGCCCTGTGACCCAAAGACATTCGTGGCAATGTAGCCGGGTGGTTAGCGTGTTAAGCTCCCATTCTGCACTGTCACCGTTCGACTTCCGCTGGGGGTGTTGATGAGACCGATGCGAGGTCGAAACTGCAATCCACCCTGGATGGCCGTGTGAAATTTAATGGAAACCTCAGCTCTACTTATATCATTGTGGGAAAATTCTTCTACCAGTCCTTCATCACCTTAAACGAAATTGGGTGAATACATCCCATATATAGAATGTTTGCTAGCTATTTTTTCATATATCACATATCTCTCTTTTTCACACACCCTCATTATAAATAGTTAAAACACCTTGGTGACCACTTTTTATACTCTTTCCATTACTAATGTTCCTAAGTTTTGATTATACTATTTGTTTATCTGCTCTAATCCCTCCCTTCTTCCTTCCATGAAAATTCAGCTCGGAAGTGTTGACCGTCTCCTTACAAGTAAACCGGTTTCTCTTGCTGCAGTGCAACGGCCTCTTCTGCCACAAAGTGATCCTAAAGCTCTGTTTTGCAATTCCGCTTCTTCTTCCACCAACTCAGTCATTGCTACCTGTGTCCATCAGCCTGAAACAGTACCGCAAACTCCATTCAGCCAGTGTTATGAGGTCCAATCGTTTCCGGCCCGATCTGGTCCACAGGGTTCACAAACACATGTCAATCATTCTCACTATCAGGCCTATGGGACACTCTTACACATCCAGAACCAAGGAAATTATCTTGATCATCCCTGCCAATCATCACTGATTCAGTTGAAATACCCACTTACTTCTCGTCACCAAGCAAAACAACTATATTACAATCAATATCACCAGAAGCTAAATGCCAATCAATGTCAGACCCCTCAACAACAACAGCAATATCAGATTCATCCTGCTTTGCAACGGCTTCCGCAAATCGAAAGATCATATTTTGATCAAGACTTTGCGCACCAGCAACATTTGCTGTTACAGAACCTAGTCTTCCATTCGGCAAACATTCCTTCAAGTTTTGATTTATCCTCACTCGGACCCGGGGTGGATGGAAGTGCGTGTTCCTCGCTATCCTATCTTTGCTATTTGGTATTCGCGACTTTTTATATTTCATAGTATTTTTGACGTTATTGGTTATCTCAGATGGGTTCTATTGTTTTTCGAGAGATATTAGTCAGACATAGTAGTCTTTGTCTTATGTCCTGAAAGTTAATTGTCGTCTTTTTATTAACCTAGATATTTTCAGCGTGATTATGTGTTATTTCAATTCATTACAATGGTATCACTATTTTTATTCATAATTCTGACGTCTATTTATTGGTCTTGATATTGCAACAAAACTTTGCATGGATTTCTTGTAAACCGTATTTCCTTTATATGTCATCTCGTTAAATAAGACAGTTAAATAAAATATTGAACCATATTGCTACTAAATTCGCACTTTAATCTAAAATCTTGGTCTTCATAGAACCTGGACAAACTAAGGACCTGTGGTACCTTATAGCTGGATCCCTAGCGACTAGCTCCCCTCATCGCCGTTTCTGCCCCACAAGTCCATTGACAGCGTGTTATAAGCGATGGTGGTCTGCATTCTTGCGCCCCCAGCGAAGAGGCCCAGGAAGCCCTTTAAAGCAGCCCACTAGTCAGTCGTCACAGATGTGTTTTGAAGGTTCTGGAATCTGGCAGACCCCGGGGCACGAACTCAGATCATTCAGCGCTTGCAGCAGCATGACCAATAGCACCTGGCATCTTATGGGGCCCAGCTTCGGCTGGCCCGTAGCAACCGAGAAATCATTAAATCCTGCTGGGGAACCAGCTTTAGACTCTCTTCAGGTCTCCGCTGATGGACGAGGTAAGTCTGAAATGGAAAATGAACTCCTTTTAAATTCGTACATTTCTGTCCGCTTAATGATTTTATACTTGGTCATATACTTTTAAAGTAGTATATGCATTTAAGTCAAAAAGTTTTTGAGCTCTAGGCGTGCTGATTTTCATATGATTTAGGTCACAAAATGTAAGAATTTGACCATTACACTAATTCACTGACAGGTTTAGTGACTAACGCTACTTCCTATTATTGACTCTTTTTGTTTCCATCTTAAATGGATTTATCCAAAATGTATGTACTACCACCCCCAACTGATAAATCTTTGTGGGAAAACGCGACAACAAAGAATATTTATTAATTGATATTTTTTCTTTAGGCAGCACCCAAGAAACAGGATTAAATATGGATGGCTTTATTCTGCAATACAAATTTTACACTATAGATATATGTCTTTTGAAAGCAGATCTGTAATATTGCAATTTACTTATACATTGTTTGTACCCTTTTATTAGCTCATTTTTTGCTTTGCCTTCGTGTCTATTAATTTTAGTTTACATACAAGCCTATATTACTAAACTTGTGTGATCCATCACAAATGTTCAAACCCCAGACTTTATTTTGTCTTAACAGTTTCCTATTTCTTCCCCT